AATAAATAAATAAATAAATAAATAAAATAAAAAATAAAGAATAAAAGAAAACAAATGAAGGCCCGAAGCAGCAAAACTGGAAAAGAAAACAAAAGAAAAGCTGCTGCTGCTTTTTTTCTCTTTTGAGTTTCTCTGCAGCCAAAATGAACCAAAGACCCCTTTGGCCTCTAAACCCTAAACCCTAAACCCTAAACCCTAAACCCTAAACCCTAAACCCTAAACCCTAAACCCTAAACCCTAAACCCTAAACCCTAAACTAGGGTTTAGCGCTTGGCTCTGTAGTGCTGAGAAGAAGTACTGAAGGCATTTGGGGGAATGAAAGGGAAACTTGAAAAGTGAATTTTTGAATTTAACTTTTATTCAGAAGTTAGTTGAAAGAGTTTCTAATTCTGATCCAGAATTAAATAAATAAATAAATAGATAAATAAATAAATAAATAAATAAATAAATAAATAAATAAATAAATAAATAAATAAATAAATAAATAAATAAATAAAAAGAACGAAAGCGTTCGCGGGCTGCACCGGCAGCTCGGGGTGTACGTACACCTGAACGCAGCAAACCTGCTGAGCAGTTTGGAGTTTAAAAGGAGTTTAAAAGGAGTTTTTTTGTTCTTTTTTTTTGCAAAAAGCCAAAAATAAGTAAAATAAAGGAAATACATGCAACTGCAGCAGCAAAACGGCGCAAACAAAGCTCTAATCGGCGCCCTGCTGCTGCTGCTGCTGCTGCTGCTGCTGCTGCTGCTGCTGCTGCTGCTGCAGTTCGCGGTCGCCGCGGTGTACGTACAGCTCGCCGCAGTGCCAGAGCTTCCAAGTGCGGTCGAACCCCACACTCGCGACCACATCCCCTCCCCCCCCGCTGCTGCTGCTGCTGCTGCTGCTGCTGCTGCTGCTGCTGCTGCTGCTGCTGCTGAGGACATCCAGCCCCATCACTCTGCCATCATGAGCTGACAAACTCTTCTGCAAAGAAAAGTCCAAACAAGACCAAACCTTGACGAGTCCGTCGAAGCCTGCGGTGTACATACACCTGCCGGTCTCGGGCTCGAAAAGACACTCTTTGACCATTTTGGTGTGCGCGGGGATGGTCAGCAGCGGCTGCGCTGCTGCTGCTGCTGCTGCTGCTGCTGCTGCTGCTGCTGCAGCAGCAGGCTGCGGCGGGGGCCGGCGGAGGTCCCAGAGCTTGACGGAGTTGTCTGCTGCTGCAGTGGCCAGCCAGCTGCTGCACACGGGGTGTACAGACACCGCAAGACTCTGCTGCACGTGAGCTCCCAAGTCCAAAACTCCTCTGCCACTTCTTAAATCCCAAACTTTCACAAATCCCCCCAAGTCCGAAGACACTGCCAAAGAGCCGTCGGGGTGGAAGCAAAGCCCGTACACCCCGCTGCTGTGACCCTCCTGCAGCAGCAGCAGCAGCAGCAGCAGCAGCAGCAGCAGCAGCAGCAGCGGGAGCAGCGGGAGCAGCGGCAGCAGCGGGAGAGGGGGATTGATTTGGTTTTGCTGGAATTAATTTAGTTTGATTTGAGTTGAATTCATTTAATTTAATTTAATTTAATTTAATTTAATTTAATTTGAATTAATTTAATTTGAATTAATTTAATTTGAATTAATTTAATTTGAGCAAAAAAAAGATAAGGCGAGCACATGGGGAAAGCAGCAAAAAGAGAAAACGCAAAAAGAAGTGAAATAAAAAACAAAACAAAATAAAATAAAATGAAATTAATTAAAATTAAATGAATTAAATAAATCAAATCAAATTAAATAAAATAAATGAAATAATAAAACAAAAATAAAACTAAAAAGATAATTTAATTTCAAAAATCCGAAAATCAATTAAAACCAAAAACTTCTTTTCTAAATTAATTAAAAATCCACTTTTTTCAACAATTCAAATTCGCTTTTTTCGCCAATTAAATAAATAATCAATTAATCACTTAATTTATTTATTTAATTTAATTTAATTACTAATTAATTAATTAATTAATTAATTAATTAATTAATTAATTAATTAACTCGTTTATTTATTTATTTATTTATTTATTTATTTATTTATTTATTTTACCTGCAGCAAAATCTCCTGCTGCGTCTCCAAGTCCCACAGCCGCCAAGTCTCGTCGTGGGAAGTGGAGCCTAAGGCGCGGCCTATTAATCAAAAATAAATAAATAAATAAATAAATAAATAAATGAATGAATGAATAAATAAATAAATAAATAAATAAATAGAGTAATTAATTAATTAATTAATTAATTAATTAATTAATTAATTAGTTTTAAATAATAAATAAATGGAGCTGAGCAGTAGAAAAAGAAAAATGCAAAAAGGGCAAAAAGATGCAAAATAAAAATAAATTAATCAAAGCCTAATAAATAATGAATTATTATTAATTAATAATTAATATAATATATTATAAATAATAATAAACAAATTGTAAAAAATAAAAAAAATAATAAATAATAAATAATAAATAATAAACAGCTAATTAATTAGACGAAAAGAATTCACA